TCACGGGATCTCGTCCCGGATGTGATGCTCATGGTAGACTTCAGAGCCCCGATTCCCTTATATCTAAGGAGAGTTCATTGGATTAAATGATATCCAGTGTCCCCACCAACTGTAATGGTGTGGAAGGTAAGCTCTCAAGGTCAGATTCACTGGCATATCGTGGGTGCACAGGGAGTGTGGTCAAAGGAAGCAGTGCCCTGCAGCCAGGGACTACCAGGAACATCCCTGAAGTTGAACAAATTGACTCATTGCAGAGAAGGAGAGGGCACACCATGTGACCACGGGCTATCTCAGGAAGAGGTGCCAGTAAAGATTTATGGGAGTTAAGTTTGTTGGGTAGTTCAGGGGAGGACTTAAGGAAGTGGAACTTTTCTCTAGACTGGATGCTGTCAGGAAGCAGAAGCCACTGTATGATTGGGTGTCTTCTAGATCTTATCTAGGAGGGAAGACTAGAGAGGTTAATGCTGTAATTGGTAAAGAAGAACAATCATTCATATCAGCCAGATTAGAGGGATATTTGGTCACTTTTGTGGCTGGACAGTGTTCCCGTTTTTGTTGTGTTCAGATATGAGACTCAGAGTGGTCTTGTTTTTATCATGATTCATTATGGTCATGAGTGGCCTTGTCTAATGTTGCTGTTTTGTTAAATTTATATTCAACAGGAAATTGCCAGGCCTAGCTGTGAATAACTTGCTAGCTCCTAGCAATACTGGGCCCTGATTCCAGATATTAGGAACTGCTTTCCTCTTTCTCACGAGCAAGCTAACCAACAAATAGTTAGGGAGCCATTTGATCCAATGTGCCTATACATGCAATGATGCCTCTTTTTCTAGAGGTTTGACTGAAGCCTGTTTGGTTCTCAACTCATCATAAAATACGGTTAAGATGGACTGAATTTTAAGTGTTAGGAAGCCAGAAGAGTTAAAATTATATACTTATCAAACCTCTCTGAAGTGGTGATTCATTTAATTTTTTCTAAGATAATTTTTAATAGGAAATGTCATGCTACATGGTAAACATAGTAAAGGGCAACATGGTGTTATTTATCAAAGTTGTAAGTGACTTGTTTTTCTGACAATGCAGTCTTATTTCTGGGAATATATCCTATATCTCTACCTGTATACGTATGAAATGACTCACGTACCAACTTATTAATCATAGCATTGTTTATAACAGCACAGTATTGAAAACAACCCAAGTGTACAGCTATAGAGGATGGTTACATAAACCACAGTAAATCTACACAGTAAAGGAGCGTGTAGCTATAAATAATGAAGCCATCTAGTGGAAAGATATTTCGAATATATTAAGTGAAGAAAATCAAGGTAGAGAATAGTACCATCTTTTGCAGGAATGGAAGATAAAAATATATATTCATAAATATATCTGAAGAACACTACAAAAAAATGAAAAAAGCTGCCTATATTTAGACTCACACAGTGTGTTTCAACCTTCCTAATGCCGCGACCCTTTAATACAGTTCCTCATGTTGTGGTGACCCCCAGCCATAAAATTGTTTTTGTTGCTACTTCATAACTGTTATTTTGATACTGTTATGTCTTAGGCAACCTCTGTGAAAGATTGTTCGACCCCAAAAGGGGTCACGACCCACAGGCTGAGAACCGCTGGTTAGAGGATGGGCACAGAATGTGGTGGACAGGGTTATGAAGGAGAAGGAGAAAGAGACTTCTCATTATTTGCTTTTTAAAATATAATTTTGATGCTTGAACCATAAAAAATGTACCACCACTTCCCAAAATTAAAATAACTTAGATATATAATGTAAAATATGTCTTTCTCCCATTCCATTCTATTCCGCAGAAGTAACCATTTCGATCAATTCCATGTATAGATTTTAGAGTAGTCTACTATATTGGCCAGGGATCTCCAGAGAAACAGAAACAATAGGATGTTGTGTGTGTATGTGTGTGTGTGTGTGTAAATATATATCTATATCTATCTGTATCTCTATCTGTCTATCTATCTATCTATCTATCTATCTATCTATCTATCTATCTATCTTCCCCAGAGAGAGAGAGAGATTTGTTTTAAGGCATTGGCTTACATAGTGTGGAGGCTGGTAATTCCAAAATCTGAAGGGGAAGCTGATAGACTGGACACCCAGGGAAGAGTTGATTTTGCAGTCTCATTTTGCAGGCCATCTAGACACAGAATTGTTTCTTGCTCAGGGGACTTCAGTTATTCTCTTAAGGCCTTCAGCTGATTGGGTGAATCCCACCCACAATATGGAGGGTAATTTGCTTACTGAAAGTCTGCTAATTAAAATGTTAATCGCGTCTTTAAAAAAAAATTCACAGCAGCATCTAGACTAGTGTTGGCCAGGGCCTAACCAAGTTGACATATAAAAGTAGCCACCACATTCATATACAATTATAACATGTATCTATATCTGTATTTTTTTTTTAAGTAAACACTGATAAACACCTTGTCTTCGGTAAGAACTTTTCATATTTTGAAGGAGGAGGAGAAATCTCTAAGGAAATATACCTTTAAAGTATATATATGAAAATTGGTAATTTTGTATTATGGAAGAAAGGACATGAGTAATAGAAAAAGGGAAACAACAGCTTAGAAGCACATTTGATAGTGGTTAAAGTTTACATTATATAAAGCCTCCTGCAAATTGAAAAGAAAACATTGAGTCCACAGTTACAAAGAGCCAACTCATGAAAGGAAAGCTGTAGGCATTCTAAAAATGTTCAACCTACAGACACTCAAAGAAATGCAGTGACTTGCGTAAAACTTAAGAATATATTAAACTGCCCTGGCCGGATTGGCTCATCAGTAGAGCGTTGGCCACGGACCCAAGAGTCTCGGGTTCGGTTCCAGTCAAGAACACGTACCTCGGTTGCTGTTCGTCCTGGCCCTGGATGGGGTTGTGTGGGAGGCAACCAGTCAATGTGTCCCTCTCACGTCGATGTTTCCGCTTTTCCTTTTTTCTCCCTCTTACTCTATCTGAAGATAAATAGAAAAATATCCTCAGGTAAGGATTAAAAAAACAAAAGTATATTAAACTAGGCCCTGGCAGGTATGGCTCAGCTGGTTTGGCATCATTCTGTACACAGAAAAGTTGTCAGTTTCATTTCCCTGGGTTTCGGGTTTTAGGCTTGATCCCCAGTAGGGGACATGCAGGAGGCAACCGATCTATGTTTCTCTTTCACATCAATGTTTCTCTCTCTCTTCCTCTCTCTCTAAAAATCAATAATAATAAAAAAGGAATATTTAAACTAATTTTTTTTAAAAAAGGATAAGTAACATTGTTATGAAACTTAGAAGCAAACTGCAATGCTGGTGTTAAAATCGTCAGCCTTTCAAAAGCAGTTTGGCATGATGACTCAGCACACTATGAAAACATGCCCTTTGGCCCAGTAATCCCTTTTCTGATAACTAACTTTGAGGAAATAATTCAAAAGGTAAAAGGCACAAATCATGAAGCTGTTCATTATAATGTTCTTTATATAATCACAGAAATGGAAACAAGCTAAATATTCGGAGGGTACGGGAATACAGGCTAATTAATGGTTTATCACTTTCATGAATTACAGCCATTAAAAATCAATACAAAGACTAGCAACATGGCCTATGTACATTATTTAATGTTACATATAACAAGTAATTATGTCTTGGTCCTGATTACACTGAAAAGAAAACTGTACCTGTGGACAGGAAAAGATAGGAATAGGAAACCTGAAAACAGTTTGATCCATTGGAATATCAGACTTATGGGTGACATTTTTTATTTTGTTGTGGTCCTATTAATACTTGTCTCTGTCATTCATGCTGCTGTAACAGAATAGACTGGGGGGCTTACAAACAACAGAAATGCATTTCTCACAGTTCTGAAGGCTGGAATGTCCTCAAGATCAAGGCGCTGGCAGATTCATTTTCTGGTGAGGGCCTGCTTTCTGGTTCTTTTCACGGATCTGTTCGCTGTGTGCTCATGTGGTGAAAGGGAGCTAGCTTGCTCTATGGAGTCTCTTTTATAAGGGCACTAATCCCAGTCACGAGGGCTCCGTCCCCATGACTTAGGCACCAGCCAAAGGTCCTAGCTCCAAATACTGTCACATTGGGGATTAAGTTTAACATATGAATTTTGGGGTGACACAAACATTTAAGCTATGGCAATATTGTTCTAACATTTTTATATCATGATAACATTTTTAAAAAATTAACAGTGAATGAATATTGCCTCAGACAGTAGGCTCACATGCGAGTGATCATTTTGTAATTAGAAAAGACTTTAAAAATCATTTGGTCCTACCTACCATTCACTCTCATCATTGTGGTGGTTGCAGGTGTGGAATCTAAGGTCAGAGAGCTGGCAACTGAAACCTGGAGAGGTATAGCAGGTGCTGGGACTGAACTCTCATTCTCTGCTCGGAAACCAGCCATCTCCCTGTTGATTAAGCCTCTGAGGTGCTTCAGAACCTTCAGATGTTGACTCTATAAGAGAACAGAGAAATTGGAAGCAAACTACATTCCCATGTCCATAGAATGAGCTCTGTTTCTAATATTAAACAATATCTAGTATTATTCACTTTGTAGTTATTAAAGGTGTTTCATTAAAATTATAACAATGCTTCAGTCTACAAAAAGACCCATTAAGTATTGTTTATTTTTGTTCCCATCTTAAGCTTCAGATTTATTTTTTCCCAGTGAATACAAGTGTACAATAAATGAAGACCCAACAAGGAAAATATTGGTATACTTCATTGTTTTTCAGTGTTATGTCCCATCACTTGATCTTTTCCCTAAATCGAAAGGTATTCTCAGTGTCTGTGGACTTTGCTTTCATTTCTTGACTTACTTTCTAAGTTTGGAATGCACTAATAGAGATCATCTTCATGGTGAGAAATTTCCCAATTAGCAAAATGGATTTGCCGAGCAGGAAAAAAATGGTTGTTTGTGCCAAAGTCCCTACCAGTGTCTGCCGGGAAAGAGGATTTGGTGTTAATTCCTATGATGAACATGTTTTTCAGGGTGGATCACTTGTACACATTCTTTGTTCAGTGGTCTCCTGACATCTATGGGAAGGATGCCAAAGAGCAAGGCTTTGTGGTGGTGGAAAAGGAAGAACTGAATATGATCGACAACTTCTTCAGTGAGCCAACCACCAAGAGCTGGGAGGTGAGCACTCAAGTAGGGGCTAGACTGTTGTGGTCCTTAAACTATAGTATTCAATCAAAATGTTCTTATGTCCAGATTCTAAGAGCTTGGCCTGTAAGAAGTTAGGCTCCCTGTGCACCTTTGAAGTTACAGTGGACTGTACCCTTATCCCTGCTTGAAGCTAGTTATGTGTGTCAGAAAGACCCCATCACCACAACCACCAAGTCATTTCACTTTTGTTTTTAAGAACTACTGCTGTGTCCCTTTTATATACAGGATGAAATTCAAGCTCCCCCCTTTATTGTTATTTTTGAGCACTCACCAAACCCTTCCCATTGTAGGGGCACAGTGGATAAGTATAAGTTAGCATTAAGGGGGATAGATAAATCGTCACATTAAAATGAGATCATTGTCAGTGTAGATAAGTACCAAGCTCTATAGGAGGCTGTAGGTAGTCGTCTAAAAGGACCCAGGGGGAGCAGGGAAAGCTGCCCAGAGAAGTGATCTGAGCTGAGGTCAGAGGTGGGAATACAGGCAGTTGTGGTGGGAGTGGGATGTGGAACATGTTCTGGCCACAGAGAAAAGTCTGTGCAGAGGATGACCCAGGCGAGAAAGAGAGAGCTTGGGACATTTGATGAACTAACAAAGTTTCAGTGTGGCTGGAGCATAAAGGCAAAGCTGAGGGAACAGCAGGAGATGAAGCTGGAGAAGTAAGCAAGGACAGATCACAGAGGATCTCTGTACCATGTGTAGGAGTTTGGTTATTTTCCTAAGGGAACTAGGAAGGCATTGAGCTGCTCTGAGCCTGGAGAACTACACACAGATGTGCATTTTGGAGAGTTCTCTGGCTGGCAGATAATGGTAGACTGAAGGTGAACAAATGAGGTTTGAAGACCCATTAGGAGGCTCTTGCAGTCATCAATGTTGAGAGAGAATGATTGCTGAAAGATTAGCAGCAAGGACAGAGAACATCGAGTGCTTTTGAAAGATAGAAGGTAGAATACACAGGACTTTGTGAGTAATTAATTGCATGTGGAAAGTAAGAACGATGTCAAGATTGATCTCTCGGGTTTTAGAGTGGGAGCTGAAGGGATAGAGGTACCTACTCTTAACTGAGATAAGCAGCATAGCAAGAGGGTTGGATTTAGTAGGAAATGTTCTTGTTCTGGTTTTAATTTAAATTTGAGGGACCCATGGAATGTCCAAGCAACAACTGAGTATAAAAGTTAGAAAAAAGGTCTAAAGATAAACTTCTGGAAATTGTTGGCAGAGTTGAAGTTATGAGTAAGATGAGATCATCCCAGGAGAGTATTACAGTAAGAAGGGAGCAGGGCTTAGAACAGAACCCTAAGGATACCAGCATTAAAGGGACAGGATAGTAGAGCCCACAAAGGTAACTGGGTAGGAGCAGCCAGGGAAGGGGGAGGGAAACAAGGAAAGTCATGTCTTAGAAGCCAAGGGAAGAGAATGTTTAAAGAGGCAGGAAATTGGTCAAAAATGAATAATGCTGTAGCGGTGCCAAAAAATAAGAACTAAGCGATATCTTTTGGATTTAAAATCAAGAGTCCCCATGGACTCAGACAATAGTGTGGTGAAGGCTTGGGGGGTGGCAGGAACAGTGTGTAGGGTTCAATGGGGGGATTAAGGGAGAACATCTGTAATACATACGTTCAACAATAAATATAAAATTTTAAAAAGTAAATAAAAACTTGTTTCCTTTAAAAAATAAAAAATAAAATCAAGGAGTGAGTTGATAACTTTGACAAAAGCAGTTTCATTAAAGTTGGAAGTCCTGTAGTTCCAAGAATGAGTGGGGGATGAGGGATTAGGAGATGGAGCTAGTGAAGGGAGGCAAAAAATTCAAATGTGGTTTTGGAAAATAAAAATGAGATAAAATATTAAGCTGGAAGAGGAGGTGAGAGTGAGGAAGGGCTTTCCCTCTTGTTAGAGAGAGTTTAACCTTTCGGATGAGGTCAGTGGGAACCATGGTGTGGAAGATATGGAATGAGGGTGAGAATAATCAGGACACTGGATCCCTGAGTATCCGCAAGGGATTTGGGTGTAGGGATAGGACTGACCTTAGATTGGTGGTTGGACAGTGGAAAAGAGTAGAACGTGTGCAAGCAAACTGTAGATTCAGTGGTAGTGAATTGCGAATGGTTTCTTGGAAATAGGAGCGGGGGTGGAGATCTCCTAGAAGTGAAGGAGGAGTTGTAGGAATGTGGAGGAGGTGTGAAATGGCAACCTTGGAGACTAGGAAGAATGCTAAGGAACTGGATGAGGGCCTATTGGAGTCTGCACCATAAACTGACAATGGCACCAGGCTGCAGTGAAGGGTGATGTTCTCCAGAATCATCTGGTGGGCTTCCGAGGCTGGAACCTTGCAGGATTGGAATGGCCAAAGGTGATGAGGCTGGCCCCGGATGTCCGATCCCTCTTGGAATACGAGGTCCTTTTATATATGTGTTTGCTCTCACTCTTCCTTTTCTCATTCACTCCTGCAAGCCAGCTTTCTGTGTCATCCTTCAAGGTCCAGCTCATCTGTCACTTCTGTGATACTTTCGGGAATGGTTACTCCTTCTGTCCTCCTAAACCTGTTGTTCATAAATCTCTGGTATGTTGCCCAGCATTTTCTTTGTTTACATGTTTCTCTCCCCATAGGTCACACATTCCTTCTTCAAGACCATTGTTAGAAGATATTTAAGCCGATTAGGCTCTCCTTCCCTTGGCTTTGTATATCACTTCTGTTTTTGCTTCTGCCTCTTGCCAGGCTTTCTGAGTTTACTTTGCTTGTCCCTGGGAGTTACTCCTTGGTTCTTCTCTTTTCATCTGTTACTATTCCTTGGAAAAGCTCAGCTCTGGTGGTTTGTGCTGTTGACTCCCACACCTGCCTCTACCACACACCTTTCTCCCAAGCTACTACTCCAGAGCTTGTAACTGCCCTATAGGCACTGCTGGATGTCTCCATGAGGCAGAGATCATGTGACATTGGCATTCTGGCCAAGGAACCCAGGAATATCAAATCTTGTCCCCACCTAATCATCTCTGCCCAAGAGGCCCCCATGAGATGTGTGCAAACAAGAAGCAATGTCAGGAAGGGTACATTTTCTTGCTAAGGCTGTGGTCTTTGCCCCGATAGGGAGTTCCTTAGAGAAGGTTCAGGTTGCACTGAGGACTTAATCCTTTCCTCGCTAGGCCTGAATATTTTAAGCCAAAGCAGTTCTCTTAGGCCTGTTCTGCCACCAATACTAACCTTGAATCTCAGCTCTTGACAATTCCAGTGAGAGAACAGACCACACCCACCAGTACCTGAGGAAAAGTTGCTAAATGGTATTTAGGGAAAGCAAGGTCTGCTTCATCATCTAGAGCTGAATAGGAGTAGGCATGGACAGTCTGCCCCAGGCCTCTCGGTCGGAGCCACTGTGAAGAATGAAAGAGGGCAGTCTCTAGACGTGGAGCGGAAGAAGAAGAAAACTGTCGGTCTGTCCAGACTCCTAGTGCTCTTGCTGAAACTCGGCACATGTGGAAAGATAAGATAACTGGAGAGAGGTGACTGGACTGATCTGACCACCTTATTCCTATTTTCTTGCCACATGGACAAAGAGTTCAAAAGTGCAGTTTGAACAATGCTGGCCCAGTTCCCTCCCATGCATGAGCCAGCTCTGCTTACCAGCATTCCCTTAAAGCTAAACCACCTAGCAGCCTTTGTCTCCTTTGTGGTGGAAAGAGGAACCGCCACTGCCCTGGAAGCTACAGGGATCTAATCCTCGGCATGTGCGAAACATCATCTTTCCCACAAACTTGCTTCTCACATATTCTAATCTGAATTAATCGTGTTCCAAGCCAGGAACCTTCCCAGATTCTTCTCCTTCATCATTATATCTAGTCATTCATCTCTAGGCAGAATCTTGTTGATTCTGTTCTTAAATGTGCAGGGACCTCAGCTCCCCTCCACCACCACTGCCCCAGTCAGCTGTCTCTGCCCTTCACGCGGACTCCCAAGGGCACCTGCAGTCCCAGCCCACCCACCTGTTCATTCTCCCATGTGCAAGCTCTTTAAATAAGCTGTATTTCCCAATTTTATAAAAATAATACCCACTTATTTTAGGAAACTTTAAAACAGAAAAATTGTAGGAAACTTAAAAATAATGTCCAACAACACATTTGTACATTTTCTTCTACTCTTTTTTTTTTTTTTTCTATTCTGTTTTAGGGTGTTTTCTAAGGGTTGAGGTTGGGGGTTAAGTCTTACTTTTTATTTTTTTGCAAAATGGGATCATGCTCTGTGTATAGTTTTGCACCTGGCTTTTCTCACCTGAAATATTGTGGTAATTATCATTTTAAAGATTTTTAAGTTGCATTTTTAATGGTTGCATAATATTTTTATCTTAATAATGATTGATTTAATGATTCCAAACTTTCAGGAATCTTTTTATTAGTTCAAGCTTTTCGTGAGGATGAGATAGATGATCTGCAACTCGTAGCTTCTTGGAAGTGAAATTACTTGGTATAACAGATACTGATGTTTTATACAGTGCCAACTTAACACGCCAGCAATGTGAGGAAAACCCTCCTCACTGTGCTTCTGCCAGCCGGACGTATTATTCCTACGAATCCTTTCTAAAAATTTTTGCTAATTTGGAAGTTGAGAAATTATAACATTTTAATTTTTATTTCTTTAATTATTATTGAGGATAGAATGAATATTTGTATGATCGTATTATATTATATGTAATTTGTTCTGATGTCCACTCATTTTCTTTGCCCATTTTCCTAAAGGAATCTTAATAGTTTCATCCCACTGTTTGAGCTCATTATGATTAAAGATATTAATTCTTTGTCTCCTGTATTTTTGACAGATTTTTTTTCTAGTTACCTGTTTTTCTGTTTTATTTATGTTTTTGTTTAGGGTTCTTAACTATAGTACTTTAAGGTAAAGTTGGCCTTGTATAATCAATTTAAACTCTTTTCATTCTACAGTTGATTTACTGATACAGGATAGGTAATATTTTTAATCATCAGTTTTTTCAGCGTTATTTAATTTGTGATGTTTTCTTTGTCATATTTAAAGGTCTTGTATATGTTCTGTGCTATCTTTTTAACTTGATTTTTAAATAAGTGATCAAGCAAGTGATTACAAGTGTGGTTTGTACTCCCATGCTCAAAGCACTCAATGGTTCTCTGTTGCCTGTAGCAACCATTACACAACTGGTCAATTACCCCAACCACCACTTGGCAAATTATTATTTTTTAACTGAATCCCAGACCCTCATTACTAGAGACATTAATTCAGTGGGTCTGGGGGAGGAATGTCGAGATCTGTATTTTTTTTTTTTTTTTTTACCCTCACCCCAAGGACATATTTTCATTTTTTGTTCAGATAGAGAAGAAGGGGGGGGGAGAAACATCAATGCGAAAAGGACACATTGAGTGGCTGCCACCCACACGATCCAGCCAGGGCCGGTGACGAACTATAACCGAGGCACGTGCCCTTAGCGAACCCGGGTCTCTCTGGACCGCAGGTCAATGCTCTAACCACTGAGAAAACCAGCCAGGGCGAGATCTGTATTTTTAAAAGCTCCTAGATGATTTTGAAGAATAGCCAGGTTTTAGAAATACTATCCAGTAAGTTCTAAGCCCTTCATGGCATCAGGATTCTTTATTTTCTCCACTTCTGCTCCCTCCCCAGCTGCGTCTCTCCTTCCCTGCTCTGTAATCTCAGGCCATGGTGAACATGGAACACAGTTGTGTGTTCCTGCTGTGCCCTTTACCTGGACATCTCCCAACACCCCACCTTCTGCTCTCAAACTGAATGAGCCATCTCAGAACTCTCTAGGTGGCTCCAACCTCCTTTGAGCTGCTATTAGCATTCGTATCACATGGAATGGTATTCATTTATTTATAGACGTCTCTCTACTGTCTCCTTACCCAGTGGCTACTGTGGACTTTTTGTGTCCCTGGCAAAGCACCTGGCACTTGCTAGCACATAAAGAGTGCTCAATAAATGTTAGCTGCCGTGAGTGCCCGGTACTTACAGGAATGCCATCTCCTGGCACAAAATCCTAGTGATTCTGCACCAGATTGTGTCTGGGCTCTTGCACTGTGAATAAGTTCTGGCTAACCTGGGACTGATCTCACGATATATACCAGAGTCCTCATTAGAATGGACCCCCAGGACGAAGCACACAAGAGCACTCCCATCCCCTCAGCAGGACCAAAAGACCATTTTGGATCTGGAAAAGTCACAGAAAGATCACTGAAAATTGATCCACGGTGTTCTGCATTTTTTTCCCTCCCCCTGACACCGGATCCGGGGAGTAGAGCACGTCTCATCATGCTTCTTAGTCATTAAGATTAATATCCTAAATATGTGGTGAACACACAGTGCCATGTACAGATGGTGTGTTATACAACTGTACGCTTGAAACCTATATGATTTTATTAACCACTGTCACCCCGATAAATTCAATAAACATTTTTTAAAGTTTAATACCCTACAAGGTAAAAAGCTTTGCCTTTTTTTTTTTTTTTACTTTGCCAGCTGTTCAGAAAAACTAAATCTAATTTGACATTATCCCCAGCTTCATATAAACCAGATGTTTTCTCATTCTTTTAAGTTGCTCACACTTAACATGACATGGAATTGAAGTGAAATGCCATTGTTCTAAGTATAATGAACTTCGGGTAAAGGCTCCCTTCCATCCTTCCCATGAGATTCAGCCTGATGTCAGGGAAATTGCTTCAAGTTTAAAATGGAGGTTTAGCTTTAGAGAAGGTGCTGAAAAAACTCTGGAAAGGCGGGGTTAGAAAAGCTCGCTTAGCCAGAGGACAATTAGGGAGAAAAGTATCAGAAGAAATAGAAAGAATCTGAAACAGTGCAGTTTGTTGTACAGTTAGGAAACCACCGTTTCAAAGGTGAAAGTGTCATTTTACAACCTCTCTGCTCTGCCTGACAGGAAGTATGTGTTTGCTCTAAATCCTAATTTGGGTGTGTTCCTGTAGCAATGTGGAACCCTCTCCTAAGGGAAACAGAAACCCAACGATGCAGGAAACTAGATACTGCAAAAACAGTTGTAGCTCAGCGTGGTTATAAGTAACCTTGGTGTGGAGGCAGATAGAGAGAAAACCGGTTTCTCATTAGGAAGCAAGCAGGCAGTTCTCACCGGGTACGATGAGGGTCCGAAGATTGCCCGTGGACATTCAGATTTTCTATTGTGCCAGACCTAACCAAGAACCTTTTGTGGAGGTATGTTGAGAGCTGATTAGACTGCCACTCAGTCTGATTTGAAATGCTTTGTTAATTGGAAAGGCTTGTGCTGTCATTTCAACCCGAGCAGGTATTTTATTCATTTTGAAGATGGGTGTGGTGTGGTTTGCCCCCTTCTTTGGAGTAAAAAAAATCCATAGCTGATTTCTTTTTCCCACAGCCTCATTTTGAACCTGTGTTAAATGTAGAGTTTATAAAAAATAAGTACTTCCTTTAATGCAGCGAAAGTGCTGGATTTATGATTCGTTGATAATGTTTTCTTTAAGAACTTCCTCTTGAGAAGATGGTAAAGTGTATAAGCTAACTTTCTTACCTGTAAATCTGGCTCAGGCAGTGACAGGTACTGTGCATTTTGGAAATCGAGTAGTGCATTTACTGTATATAACGTAAATGTTTTCCTCTATAATGCAAAAGTTATCAATACTGGTACCCAGGAATTTTAGGGGATTGGTCATTTTATATATCTTTGATTTCAAAATAATTCGGTGATTTCTCCAAACTTTAGGAGGGACAAAAATAAGTTTTAAGGTGTAATTGACTCTGGTAGTTTGTAAGCACAGTCACAGCTAAGTAATGAATGTTGTGTACAACATCACATTTTTCAGTTTTGAAGGAAAGACTACTCTGATAGTTTCTGAACTGTACATAAAAAATCACAACCTAATTGGAATGTACACTAAATTTGTGTTTCTTTGGATTATTGCTTTAGTTGCTGTTACCGTTTGTCATTTCTATTAGGGTTGGTTGCTATGTGCACAATCTTAAGAGAAAACATTGGGAGTCTTAATTTTAAAAAACTATCTTATCTTCCCAATATCCGTATTTATAAAAGACTTACTCATAGAATGATCGCTGATTAGTCCCTTAACTATTCAAATTTAGATGCAAGCTAAAGGAGACTAATTAAGGGCATTTCAATCAATTCCTTGTGCAGTTATACATAATTCTTGCCAAAGGACTGAGCAGTCGACAGTAATAGTAAAGGGGAAAACTTGCAACTGTAATTTGTACACATTAAGTGCCTCATCTGTACTGTGTTAAATTCTGCAATTGTCCTGAAATTGAAAAATTAGCCATTTCCCAAAGTCCCAGTTCAATGTATGCCCTGCTGCTAAAACTAAACCAGTTGCAGGATATCGTGTACTTGAGGTCGGTTTTAGCAGGTGAAGGTAAAGCAAATAAATTGAGGGGTTTGTTTGGCTTATTTGTCTTGTGTGTTTCAGATCATCACTGTTGAGGAGGCAAAGCGAAGGAAGAGCACATGCAGCTACTATGAGGACGATGATGAGACAGCCCTGCCTACTCTGCAGCCCCACAGTGCGCTCCTGGAGAACATGCACATCGAGCAGGTGGTCCTCCCTGGGCACTGAGCGGGGGGGGGGTCTTCCAGCCTCAAAAAGCATTTCCCTACCCTGACCACATTTGCTCCTCACATTCCAGGTAAAGGATGAGCCAGGTTTTAAAGGAGGATCAGCAGCCTAACCAATGCCAGTGCCTCTGTCTCTGCTTCCAAAGGTGACGGCAGTCATTCCCTCTGCCTCCTCGGGAGTGCGAGGACTTGGCCAGACACTCCATCTGTCTCTCAGACCTGAACAGAATGCCACTTCTTGTTTTCAAAACAACTTTTTTTTTTTTTTTAGAGAAAGAGAGAGAGAGACATCAATTCGTTGTTCCACTTATTTATTCATTCATTGGTTGATTCTTGTAATGTGCCCTCATTGAGGATTGAACCCACCCCCTTGGTGTATCGGGACAATGCTCTAAACAACTGAGCTACCCAGCCAGGTCCTTGAGACAATTTTTATAGTGTCCTACCCTAGCCCTAATGCACGTAAAATCTAAATTTATCCTGGTGATTCCTGCAGAGTTCCAGTGTTTTTAATGTATCAGGCTCAATAAAAATCATGTAGTAAATACACTATATTTGCTTTATGAAAAGTACCACCGGGAAGAATTTTCTTCTCTTTCTGTAGTTTTCCTTGTTCACTTTGTTTTCTGAAAATGTTACAGCCATTCCATGAAATACTGTAATGTGCTTGCATTTGACCTGTAATCAGGGATGCCTTGGTCTTCCCCCGTCAGTGAGCATAAACCTGAATTTCAGAGACCTTACTGAAGCATTAATAAACTCCCGCAACTTACAAATGAGTCTGCCAAGGCCCAGGAGAGCCAAGAGAGATGACCAGGCAGTCACAGAAATGGGGTCTGTTCTGATATTAGAACTGATGCTCAGTGTTCTAACGACTTCGCACTCCATAGCCTCCTCTGTTAGTTGTTTGTTTTTTAATTAATTTATTTAGTAAGTTAGTTTTGTTACAGATGTTTCTCCTTTTTCCCCATTGACACCCTCCTCCCACTCCCTCCCCACCCTGTCCCCAGCTTTGCTGTCCATGTCCATTGTTCATGCATACATGCTTATAAGTTCTGTGGTTTATCTCCACCCTCACCCCCTCTTCTGGGGATGGTCAGTCTGTACCCCACTTCCACATTTCTGGAACTACCCTGTTCTTCAGACTGTTATGTTCATTATATTCCATAAATAAGTAAGATCATATGATACTTGTCTTTCTCTGTTTGGCTTGTTTCGCTTAGGATAATACTTTCCAGGTCCCTCCATGTCGTCTCAAAGGATAAGAGATCTTTCTTTCTTACAGCTGCATAGTACTCCATTATGTATATGTACCACAGTTTTGTTATCCATTCATCTTCTGATGGACATTTGGGCTGTTTCCAGATCTTAGCTATTGTAAATAGTGCTGCTGTGAACATGGGGGTACATATATTCTTTCTGATTGGTGTTTCAGGCTTCTTAGGGTATATTCCTAGAAGTGGGATCACTGGGTCAAATGGGAGTTCAATTTTTAATTTTTTGAGGTAACACCATATTATTTTCCATAGTGGCTGCACCAGTCTGCATTCCCACCAGCAGTGCACTAGAGTCCCCTTTTCTCCACACCCTTGCCAACACTTGTTGTTTGATGATTTGTTGATGGAGGCCATTCTGACAGGTGTGAGGTGATACCTCATTGTTTTAATTTGCATCTCTCTGATGATTAGTGATGTTGAGCATTTCTTCATATGTCTCTTAGGTATTTGTATGTCCTGTTTGGAGAGGTGTCTATTTAGTTCCTCTGCCCATTTTTTTTTTTTTTTTATCCTCACCCGAGGACACTTTTCCATTTTTTGTACAGATAGAGTGGGAGGGAGAGGAAGAGAGAGAGAGAGAGAAACATCAACGTGAAAGGGACACATCGAGTGGCTGCCACCCGCACGACCAACCAGGGCCGGGGACAAACTGCAACCGAGGTACATGCCCTTAGCGGGAACCGAACCCGGGTCTCTCCGGACCACAGGCCGATGCTCTAACCGCTGAGCCAAACCGGCCAGGGCCTCTGCCCATTTTTTAATTGGGTTCTTTGTCTTCCTTTTGTTGAGCCGTATGAGCATTCTATGCTCTTAGTATTTTTGAAGAGCCATGCGCTGTTAGTATTATGGCAGTCAAGTTGGAGCTCAATATTAATGTAGTGAAAGATGCAGGTGCAGTGCACACAGACTCCATCTGACTACTGGCATAAAACCCTGTCTTCTTGTTGGCACTTCGACGGGAAGCTGCAGTTTTTGAGCCTTAGAGGGTACAATGGGAGAAATGTGACCTGTTTGGTGAAAGCCAAGTTCAAGTGTAAAACAGAGAGCGTGTGTCTAGTTCATACTTATCAGGCTAGGTGCTCTGTCTCCCAGTGTGTAATGGCAGAGTGACCCCACATTCAGGCCCCCGAGAGTGAAGGCGTGCTCTAGGAGGCATCCTGCCAGGGTAACACTACCTAGGAATGATTTTCCCTTCTCTGTCTTGGTTTATAGTGGCAAATATTTGCCAGAATAAAGGGGAACAATATGTAAATCAGTATAATTTTGTTTTCATCCACAGGCATATAGTTTGTGCCAAAAGTTCACGAGTGATTTGTGGGTTAACTGTATATTTACATGTCCACCTTTGGATTTGCAGCTGGCCCGACGCCTTCCAGCCAGGGTACAAGGGTATCCATGGAGACTCGCATATAGCACATTGGAGCACGGGACCAGCTTGAAAACTCTCTATCGGAAATCAGCGTCTCTAGACAGTCCTGTCCTGTTGGTTATCAAAGATATGGATAATCAGGTAAGGCGTGTTCCTCTCTCAGAAAACACTTTTTTTTAAATAAAGATTTTCAAAGCTACACAGCAGTAGAGAGATGAGCACTATGAACTCCCATCACCCAGATCCCACAGGTTAGCAGGATTTTCTCACATAAGCTTCGTCTGCCTTTTTTCTTTGTTGGTTTTTCTTTGCTGAAGTGTTTTGAAATAAATCCCAGTTTACTATGTCATATTTCAGAAGGCATCTCTAAAACAGAAAATGGAGTATATCTCCAAATATAGTCACATTCTAAGGGATTTTTTTGTATGTACTTACCATACAGTCGAAAGCTATAATGATACTCGACAACCTAAAGCTGGAGGAGTTGAAGAGAAGTCAAGTCTGGATTTGCAGGTAGTGGCAGAAAGAACTTCCAGTGCCCTACCAGGACTTTTGCAGGTAGCTGCAGGTAGCTGAAGGAGTGCCACAGACCTTACCTGCGTGGTTGCTGAGAGGGAGAGCAGTCAGGGCCGTGGTGTGCTGTACAGGGAGGGCTCAGTTGTCATGAAACAGCAGGGAGAAGGCTGGACCGTGGCTCATTGCACTTTTATCTCTATTGCCATTGGTCTTGGAGACACTGGTGAAATCTAAATATTTCCCCCACCTGCCTGACACTAGTATTCCTCACTTCATCAGCTTGGCGTACACATAGAATCTCGTCTGGAATCTTTTACATGTTACCCAGTCAGTCTCCTGCTTCACAAAAGGAAGGCATCTGTCAAGTCCGTTCTTTCTTTATTTCTGTTTTGTCTGTGTTGTATCAAGAAGAAATTCCTTTGCATTTTAAAACTGTGAATGCCTTTCTTTTCTCTTTCTGCTACTGAAACAGGTTTTACTCAGCAGCCATTCATTCACTCATTCAGAAAATGTATAATGAGTGCCTGTTACGTGGAGGACACTATTAAGCATTGAAGCACTTTCTGTGAAGCCGTATAATTGGGATCATTTTAGAGGATATAGATCTTTGCTATCATAATTTGCCTTGGGAAGAATTAGCAGAGAAATGGAGTACTGGCCATTCTTTCTCAACCGTGTTCTTTCCTGTGACTTTATTTCAGCTTAAGAGTTCTGGGAAGTAGTTTAGCTGTTGTCATTGGAACTATTACTATTTCCTGATTGATGACATTTGGTTATGATCCACCTGAATAGTGGGTAGAGTCAAGTTAAAACTTAAAATAATAATAACAGAGGTTTAAAGTAGAATTACTTCGGGATTTAGTGGAATGTTTGTGAAGCTGGGTGGATGTTTTAGATGTGATATAGCTAGATGGTTTAGACCACATAGAGGTCCTCACCATAAGATAACACACCTGTTGGGGAATGTGTCGGCCGAATAGGGCAGGTGCTGAAGAGGCACAGTTCCGTCCAGCTGCCTGTTAGCAGATATGGAGAGGAGACCCATACCTGTTCATCAGAGATGGGTTTTACCGAATCTGGTGCCCTCAAATCACTGGTATTGCTTGAAGACACCTAAACACTGACTCTCTTTCCCCATCCCATCTACTCCCAGTGCAACAATGGGACTTTGCTGTGTTTGAGAACAAGGTAGAACAACACTTACACATTTATCTGGAAATGAATTATATTAAATTTTAATATAAAAATATTACATATGCAGAATGGTAGCAATAAGGAGCTCTACAGAGTCAATCCCCAGTGAAACAACCAACCTGGTAGAAATTATAAAAGTAATAATCACTTAAAGTCTCTGGAAGATGTCCTAAGGGTATAAGGCTGCCTCTTCCTCGTCCCCTGCCTGAGATCACTATTTCAGAAGCTAATCTCTGTGCCATGTGGCAAAGTATGAAGAACACTGGTTAGAAAGGGTTTCTAGACTTCTACTCTACCTAATTTTTAGTATTTCAAGGAGCCAGGAACTGAGTCTAATTGGTTAAAAAGAGATGCCACAGTGATTATAATTCAATTAAAATAATTTTGAAAAATTACAGCATTCTTTTAGATAACCTCCATTTAAAGAAGCATTTCCCAGTAGGGATTTGGGATAGAAGGTATATCAGAATTACCTAGGGACATTTTCAAAATACAGATGCTCACTCTTGCCAACCCACACTCCTGCAGTACTGATCAGGATCTGAGCAGAAGCATAGGAGGCTGAGGCAGCAGACATGCATATTCTGAAAATACTTCCAACTCCCAATGAGAAAAAAATAGAGGAGTCATTGATTCTAATACATCTAAATCACCATTAAAGCCCATAGTATATGGAATCATTTTTTTTTAAAAAAAAACATTTTGAACTAAGATATATTGGATCAGTCATGTTAAGGATACAGTTTCAATAAGCATTCTGAGAACTCATTTTTACAAATCAAAAGAAAAAAAATTATTTTCTCTGGGAAATGTCTGGCTAGTTCCACTGGTAAAACACAAAGGAGATAACGACTTTGTTCTCTCAACCACTCATTTCTGTATGTAAGATGCTTCTGTTGTTTAATGTCCCCATTAGGTCATCTGGAGTCACTAAAGGAAATTGGTCTCCATGGTGGCCTTTGGAAGTCTTTTAAAATGGAAGCAGTTGTTGGCCTTTGACAAATAAGTTATCTGAGCCACTTGGATTCCAGTTAGAGCTGGGGACATTGGATGTGTCTCTTTGTCGGTGGTCTTTCTTATTTAAGAGCTCCAATTTAGTAATGGTCTTTGCTGAAAGAGGTATAACAAGATCTCAGGATTGTGTTAAAATATTTCAGAAAGTCTTTCTTTGGGAGGTTTAGGTTTGAAAGTAGATAACATTTTTTTCTTTCAACAGATTTTTGGAGCATATGCTACTCATCCTTTTAAGTTCAGTGACCACTATTACGGCACAGGCGAAACTTTTCTCTACACGTTTAGCCCCAATTTCAAGGTACCTAGATGGGAGAAGTATCTCATTTCCCGGTGTCATAGTCAGGGGTGTGGGTGGGATTGGAGCAGCAGCTGTGCTGTAGCCCCACAGGGACTCACGCAGGCCTGGGTCAGCATGGTGACTGTAATACACAAACTACTTAGGGTCCCTCCGTGGGCCTTGGGAACTGCTCTTCTGCCTGGTCTGGGGTCCAAGGAGGGATTACAAGTCAGAATCAACATAGGCCTCAGTGATCTTTCTGACTTCATAACCCCTTTGGAGAGCTCATCCTGGTGTGGGGTAGGCCTGGCAGTCAGGCACTTCCTCAGACGATGGATAGTTACATAAGTACTATTCTAATGTTCCCTCTTTGCTTATTCTCCGGGTTAAAATGTCTGTTTTCTGTCTTGTGTTTCTACCCTAAGGTCTTTAAGTGGAGTGGAGAAAACTCATACTTTATCAATGGAGACATAAGTTCTTTAGAACTTGGTGGTGGAGGGTAAGGATTTTGTTGTTATTAACTTACCGCCTGACCGGAGTGGGTCTGTTTTGACCCAGGTAACCAAAACCTTGGTGTCAGATGATGTTAGCTAGTCCGTGTGCTTATATTAATTAGGACAGTGTCCTAACATAAGACACTAAGAATCAGAGATGAAATGATTTATTTATGTGTCTACATGAGGGACTACTACCACTGGTCTTTTAGGAAAGACAGGTCGTTTAAATGAAATAAAGGAAATGTACCCTTTGTTTTATAAGCAATTTAGGGTTTTTGTCTGCCTGTAGCATAAAGGAAAGAACAATGGGACAAAGGAGGACAGAAAGTGTGCCGCACAAGATTGAAATGTTTTCACCTTTCTGTTTTTTTAACCTTTTCAGGGGACGATTTGGATTGTGGCTAGATGCTGATTTGTACCATGGCCGAAGCAATTCATGCAGCACTTTCAATAATGATATTCTTTCCAAAAAGGAAGACTTCATAGTTCAGGACCTTGAGGTGTGGACATTTGAGTGAAATTCAGGCTGCCTTAAAATACAACATTAAAAAGACTGGGTTTGATCAGCCCTCCCGAAGCTGGCTGGAAGACAAGGCGCCGGGCCAGACGGCTTCATCCCGCCCTCATGCTTTCTTTCTGTCGTCATCCCGGGGCATGAGCGCGTTGCAGAGGTCCCGAAAGGCGCATGTGGAGGGCAGACAGACGGCAGAGATTGGAAGTCCAGGTTGCTTAAGACTTTGTACGCCCACTTTCTTCAGATCCATTCAGTGAGGAATCAGAGTATTTATAGATGTATGAGTTGAATGCAGTTTTTATTTTTGGTAACTGTGAAAACAAAAATGATACTGTGGAAATATATACATGCCTTGTGTATTTATCAACATAATTTTCATTACCAAAATGTACAGCATACTATTGTTTGCCATGGGAAAGGTTAGGCTCATTTAGAAAAATTGAAAGTGCACAGCACTTAAAGGGAATATGTACATGATTTTTTTTAAAAAAACTTATTTATTATTTCTAGTATATTGTCTGAAATGTGTTGCCAGTTTTTTCTTTTAATGTGTCAAATCTTGAAATAAAGAAATGTGCTATGTTTTGGCGACAATTCCATTTGATTTATATAGTTTTATATTGAGCTTTTTTTGCCCTGATTGTTTAGGGTAATAGATCTTAAACAGCATATATATATATATGCTGAATTGTGAATTTTGAAAAACTCATCACCAATGTTCATTGATTTGACTATTGTAGGCCAGCTTTCCATTTAGTCATTAAAAAGGTACATTTTTAGTTACTTACTCTGAACATAGTGTATAAAGAAAAATAAGCCATTTCTCATAGTTATAATTTGATATTTACAGAAGTGGATACCTTTATGAACTTAGACTAGAACAAACCCTGCTTTTGAATAGAAAATGTTTTGCTTCTTATAAAATCATTTGTGTTAGTAACAAAAACTTTATTTTCATAGCGTTTTTGCATAATTTCCCCCAAGTTTTTACACTAACAAATAGGCCTCTGTTTTTAAAGGAACTGAATGTTTCAATTTCTGCATATTTTATATCAAATGAAAAAGATCAAATTAGCCCATTTGTCTTGGTTCCTAGACTCTTTTGAGAAAAAAAAAAAAAATGCAAAGAACTGCATTCCTACCAAAATTGGAATAAAAAGGTAAAACCTATTTTTTAACATCAACCCATTTTTACATCATAAAACATTGTTTTATTAAATATAATAATAAAACCTTATTGAAATGTAACCAATATTATTGATTGCTAGACTTTTCTGAAAGCCAAAGACTGCTAATGTAAAACATTTTCAAGTAATAGCCAAAGCTGAGAAGTGGCCTGTCATAAATTACATCCCCAGTGTGATCTCGGAATGAAAATATTAATAACGAAAGTAGTATTTATATAACTGCATTTAGAGAAATAAAGTTCTTAGAATGTAAGCCTTAAGTTGGCAGAATATTTCCTTTAGATCATCTCTTATTTTAGACTATTTATAAAAGAGAACAAATTGCCAAGTGGCCTTTTGTCAGATCAACAGTTATTTAACTCCACTTACATTCCATGCAAGTTTAAAAGAATGCTGTAAAATCTTAAGTCTGTAGCCTGGGTGTGCTTTCCCCTGAGTTCTTCTATTGAGAAGTCTTGATGAAGAACATATTTCAGTTTAACCTTAATCTGCTCATTAAATGATGTGTTGGTGTGAGATATCTGGAATGTCTCATGATGATCATGTTTACCATTTATGCCATTTGCAACCATATGCTGTTAACAAAACAGTCATTTTGCATCTAGTTCACTCTTACCTAGTTTAGTCCATGATATTGTATGTACCTGTGAGAGCATATCCAGATGCTGTGTTCTCTATTAAAAACAGTATTGTCTGATCAGAAATGTGTGGCCCTTCATTTATGGATATTGAATATATGTGATGCAGTGCTAGCCCAATATTTTCAATAAAGGAATTTATGCATTCAGTGTGATTTTCTTTCCCAAGGATTCAGTCAACAGCTAGTTATTGGACAATAGAGTTTTTACTTGTGTGAGAGGATGATGAAATAGCCAAGACTAAGTAAGGTCCAGCACTCAGGCTTTTATTTTCATTATTATTTTTAATGCCACCCTGAAAATGCCCTCTTTCATCCCTGTTGCCATCCTCCTCTTCTCTCATCAATTCATGAAACTGCTTCTGTTATAGTTACTAGGGACAATTCTTGGCTCCAAATTCACCAGTTTCCCTGTTAATTCTTCTAGCTGTTCTTTGAATAGTGATCTCCTTTTAATATTTCTCTTTTGACCTACTTTCTAATTTCAATGGACACTTTATGCTCTGATCAGTTTTTCTTGGCATCCTGTCCCCTACCCCAAAAGATGAAGACCAAAGCAGTCTTCATTGATTCTCTCACTTCCTCGGTTTATGAGTCTACATCAAAAGGTGGGAGAGGGCAATTACACATCGCACCAGACTCTGTTGAAAATTATGTAGATACATCCCCATGCTACATGTCCCTAGGGACACCCTAAACTAGTGTGAGAAGTATTCTTGCCCCTCATTTGATTTCCCTTGCCTTAATTCCTTTTAAAGCTTTAGAGGCAAGTGAAACAGGACTAATAAAACAACTACTTTCCTTTTGAGGAAGGCATTGAGAATCTCTTAAACCAGAAAGGGAAGATAAGATTTGTATTCTTCTTAGGATGCCTAAGCGATTTTTGTCAATATAATCAGTTAAAGAAAGTTAAGGAGGTTAGAAACCAAAGGAAGTTCCAGAAACAAGGTCACCCATACTTACCCCTTGTGCAAATAGCAGAAGTACCTTTAACCACTTCCTTCTGCCTAATCAGGTCACACTCTCCTCATGTAGGGAAAGTCCTAACCTCAAAACATTCATTCATCCTCTGCTCCCACCTCCTTTCCTATGACTATGATCTATAGTAATCCCCTGAAAGAAGGTGTTTTCACTGAGAAAATTAGGCTTTACAATTCACACCAAAATCTAAGTTCTTACTGTCCTCCCTTCTATTTAAAAATCGGTAGTAGTTGAAAATAAAAGCTAGATAGGGCTGCTCTGGTGTGGTCAATCAAGCCATCAAAATGGTATTTCTTGATAGAATATCTTTGATGACTTATTTATCTTCTAGATCAATGCTACTCAATAGAACATTCTACAGTAATGGAAATATTCCAGAATTTGCACTGTCCTTTATGGTAACAACTAGCTAACATACTAGTCTTAAACACACGAAATGGGTGATTGAACAACTGAATTGTTTTATTTCACTTTATTTAAAGTTAGCCACATGTGGCCTTTGGCTGCCATACTGAACAGCACAGCTCTAGATCAAGGTCAAGATGTGGCTGAGTGAATATTTCATCAGCAATAAACTCGGACTGTTACCCCCTCACCAGAAGACGACCTTTAGTTCTGAGTACTTTGATTTGTCTCTGCCGTTATGGATCTTCACACAGCTTTGCACAAGCTAATGTAATATTGTGTGTCTCATTGTTTAAGTAGTCCGCTAATAAAGCGAAGTTTCCCTGAGAGTTTTTCCAAACTGAGAACTAGGATCTCTATAGGATTACTGATCCTCGTCACTCTCTAAAGGTAATGAAAACCTCTCCTAATGTCCAGGCCTTGTCTCAAAGATTTCCTGCCTTGGCCACCAGCTCATGCTTTGTTCTTATACTGGACAGTCTACTGCCCATGGCAACCCTGTAGGATGCCATATTCCTCACCAGGCACAACCCATCCACCATGCATGAGGGACCACTGGAAGGATAAACAGTTAATTTCTTACATAGAATTGTGCATCCAGCCTCAGAACCACGAAGAATAATGGAACCACCAAGAATGCCTCAGGCAACAGTTTCATTCAATGATCAACTGTCCTTACTAAACTTGCCGGCTGGAGTTACTTGCAAACCCAGAGAACTGGCTTACATGTAGATAAAGTTTCAACATCAACCTGTTAGAATGAAGGGTGGTCAGAAGGCATAAGAGAAGAGACCATTAGATAATCTTAGTGTCCTATTTATCCATCAACAAGGGTTTCTTAACCACTCCACTTTTAGAGTTACAAAAAATCATCCTGATCTAGCTTAACACAACCTTGAGAGAAATGCTAAACACAGAAACACATTCACAGTCAATAAACTTAGATGACATAAAGCATGTCTTCTCATGTCTCTGCAGCTAAAAAATCATCCTTACCTTGACATATTTCAAAAACACTGGAATTTAGCCAATCAGTTCAACCTTCAATTCCCACAGCAGTCTTTGGCATAACTTCAATTTTCACTGGCTGATGAAATCAGCCACATTTTATCTAACAGCTGACTAAGATTAGCCCTTTTCATCTTTGAAGACTACAATTAATAAGAAAATTTCTACAAAGATATGCTGTTAAGGTATTGTGTGGACCTTAAGAGTTGTTCAAAGGTCCCATTATTACTCCACACGCAGAAAGTCCCGGTCTTGTTCTCTCGCAGTGCCTTGCTTTTCTATTAGATCCTCCAAAGGCTCAGGAAAGTAGATAGGTTTGGCCTGGGGTATCCCAGAGAGAGTTGAGGGGATATGGCATGTGTCTCTTTCGGCAGGTCATATAATCAAATCACCCAGGTAGAACTCAAAGTTTCTAAAGAGTTCAAAAGGCAGCAAAGCATAAATGGTTAAAGCACGAATTCTCCGGAGCCAGACATCCTGGGTTTGAATTTCAGCTCTAGAATTTTGTAGTTGTGCCCTTGGTTAAGTAATTGAACCTCTACAATGTGGGGGTAATAATAGCAACCACCCCATGATTGTATGATAAAAGCACTTAAAATAGTACCTGGCATAAAGTAAGCACTACTAAGTATTAGATAAAATAATGAAGGAATTCCTTCTTCAAATGGAGAAATCAACTAATGATGTGAAAGTTGCAAAGGAACATTCATCTTCTAAGACAGCAACTTAGTTTCTAAAAACTATTTCCAGCCATATTGCAATGGCTTCCATTTGCTCTTTAGATATTTTTAACTGAAGCTTTGTTTCTTTTTTAAATTATAGAATTAATACGTGTTCATGGTGGTTTTCAAACAGTACAAGAGGGAATTTAGTGAAAGGCAAGCATTTCCCTCCCTACATTCCCAGAGGTAACAACCACAATAAGTTTCTTGTGTTTCCTTTTAAAGTATTTATATGCAGATATATTTACTTGTATCTTCTTCATATAAACACATACTAAACACACTGTTCTTCAGTTTGCCTTTTTAATTTAACAGTATACTGCGAACCACATTTTGTATCAGTATATGTAGATTTATCCCATTCTTTATTGCATTGGTCATCATTATTGAAAAAGTTCTTCATTAATGGACTTTTTTTTGGAGGGGTGGCTATTACAAACAATTCCTAGCGAATATCCTTGTATAGAGGACTTGTGCTTTTATGATTGTATATTTCTGAGATAACTTTTAGCAGTGAGTCAAAGAGTGTATGCACTTTTTATTTCAAAACATGCTATTAATTATTCCTCCATAAAAGTTATACTAGTTTATACCAACTATGTATGAGTGTGCCAATTAGTCACCTCACAGCTTCACCAACACTGGTTATATTAATTTCTTTTAATAATTGCTAAAATGGCATCATATTTTAATTCTCATTTTCTTATGAATGATATTGAATATCTTTCCACGTGTTGGTTATATTTATATATTTTTTTCTGAATATTCTGTCCAAGTCCTTTGTCCATTTTTTTTACTGATTTATTCAGTTTTATTGATTTGTAAGTTTTCTTTATTCACAAAATTAGCATGTGTCATGTGTGTGTGTGTGGAATTTGCTTGACATTATATATATATATTTCTAAAATCTGCACCCAGGGATATGTTTCCTTATTGATTTTTAGATAGGAAGGGAGAGGGAGAGAAAGAAAGAACAACATCTATGTGAGAGAGAAACTTCACTTGGCTGCCTCCTGTATGTGCCCCAACCAGGGATAGCACCTATAATTTAGGTATTTTCCCTGACCAGGAATTTAATCTACAATCTATTGGTGTACAGGACAATGTTCCAACCAACTGAGACACCCAGCCAGGGCTGCTTGGTTTATAGTTTTAAAATACATGCATTTTTCATACATGAGGAGTTTCTTAATTATAATTTTTTATATTCACATTTCTCAATCATTTCTGTTATAACTTGTAGAACATAATTTTTTAGATCAAGTAAAATTTATTCAGCATGATTTTCAGTCCTTACTTAAACACCTCCCAAAGTGTCTATTAAACACTACCTTCCACCTTATCTAAACTGTATTCTCACCCAGCCGGTGTGGCTCAATGGTTGAGCATCGACCCATGCACCAAGAGATCATCAATTCCATTCCCGGTCAGGGCACGTGCCCAGATTGTGGGCCCGATCCCCAGTGGGGCATGCAGGAGGTGGCCAATTGATGTTCTCTCTCATTGATATCTCTATCTTTCTCTCCCTCTCCCTTCTTCTCTCTCTAAAATCAATAAATAAAAATGCATTCTCTTACTGACTCTATGCTAAATTATACCCCCCACCCCATATTTCAGAACATTAAAAAATAAGCTCCTCCAAGATCAGTTTCACTTTGCACCAGCCTCTAATCCTGTTAACATGTCTTTGTCTTCAGAAGAGGTCTTGTGACAAGAATTGAATGTGCGTATTTTTTCACTAGAGTGAAGTTCTATAGTAAGGACTTTTTTTTCTTCTTATTGTTGACACTATTACAGATGTCCTCATGAATGTTCATCTTAAGTACCGTCCTCCAGTGAGTAGGTTAGAGGTAAGCAATGTTGATAGACAACTTCTGCCCAGATATCTCCAAACTGTGTCACAATGCCTTGTTGAGGAACAACTGATATATTAATGATGATAATAGTGTTGAAGAGGAGGATGAGTGGTACAGGAAATATTTATTTTTTATGACCCTCACTCTCCTTTTTTATAT